TTTGCCTATATTTCCAACATTCCCAATGTGCCCAGCATATGCTTTGAAAGTATGTGTTGAATGAATTAACAAATACATCCCCATAAAATAAGTAGTGCTAGATCTTTCTAGTGGAGTATTGGTATGTCGCAAAGATCAACATGATTTTATTTATTGGTCTTAGTATGAACACAATATTATTTATTTCTAATAGAACTCCAAGACTAGAGTTACCTAGTTACCTTAGTCTACCCTGTACATACTTTCTGACTTCCTTCTACAACTCAGCTTATGGAAGTCCCGTTTGGAGGAAAGGAAAGTACCCCTATGGTACCCCTAATCTGTAGCAAGTAAGTTCACTTGCATTATGTATTGATACAAATATACATTACAAATAGCTTATTGCTTGGAAAAGACAAAGTAAACTTAAAAAATGATAAAGCTTTGCCACTCTCAAAGAGTATTCTGCTAAATGTGCCCACACTTCTTTGCCTGTCTCGATTGACTGTTAGCAGTCCATTTCATTTGATGGTGAAAAATTAATCCTTGCCTTATTATTTTGAAGTGATTTTTCAGCACATGCATTTTCTCTGTCATTTTTGAGTGCCCTTAGGAAACTGGCTTAACTTAAAGTATATAAAATATCCCGCTTGATCTTCAAAATGAAAACCACTATGCCTTTTGTTCCTTATAGCCAATCTAATTTCACAGACGTAACTGAACCAAGGGAATCAAACACATTTTCAGTATAGCTTTTAATATCCATAATTTTCCAATTATTTGGGGGACAGAGTAGACCAAATTTTCTTTAAAAACTGATAAACCCCTTTAATTGGAGTAAGTATGTTAAACCAACCATACTTTGAGTCTTTTGGCAAGGAAGTCTGGGGAATGTCACTAATATAGCTTTATTAGCATGCCATACTGTACCTTACTCGGAACCACTATCATTTGAGTTCCAATTGTTTCCAATAATTGCAAGAGAAATTCATCAGGCAGCACTGGCCTTAATCCAAAGAAAAGGGTAGAAACCAATTAAATGCTTAAAATTTTAAGGATAAATTAGAAGGTAGGTGTTAGAAATCTCTAGCTCCAACTAAAAGTGGATAAATGATTCTTAAATAGGCTATCTGGCCAGATTTCCTGTTCTTGGTTGCTAATCCACATACTATCTATGAGTATTAGACATACAAATTAGCCCCTTTCACTCTGCCTAGAAACATAAAGAAAAATGTTAGATGGATTATGAACAGATCCACTTTTTTTCCTTTTGGTAAGATTTGGTTGCTGTTTAAAATTGCAATGAGAAAACAGATAAAAAAGATTTCCCTAGCTTCTGTCCTAGTTATTGTTTTCTCCCAACATTATCTGCCCTCAGTGACCTCATTCACTCTCACATTGTCAGCCATTGCCTCTGTGCATATATGATTCCGCAGTCTTGTTCTAGCCTTAATACTTCTCCAGAACTTCAAACCTCCAAAGCTCGTTTGTTGAACATTTCTATCTGGACAGTCCATTGGTCCCTGGAAGCCGGCACCTCCAAAGATGCATTCATTATATTTCCCCCATCACCCTACCCTGCCCCAAACCAACTAGTCATCAGTCAACAAACACATGTCCAGCACCAGTTATTTGTAGCTAGTGCTGGGCTAAGTGCACAGTCCCCTAACTCTATTAATCATTGCTCTATGCTTTCAGTTACTCAGGCTTCAAACCTTAACTATGTTGTATTCCTCCCTTTCCCTCATTTTCTTCTATTTTTGCCCCCAGCACACCTACATGCGTGCATGAGCGTGCGGTGAACATACATGTATGCACACACAGAACTTGTTACCAAACCCTGAGATGACGTTTATGGAATTTCCCCTTAAGGAATTGCCTTCTTTGCATTCCCACTGCCACTGCCCTAATTGAGACGCTCATTATTTCTCACCTAGATTATTGCAGTGGTCATCCCAATTTGTGTTCTTGCCAAATCTTTAGGCCTCCCAAGTCATCGTTCTCCACACTAGTATTGGATTTATCTTCCCACAAAGGGTTGCTCCGATGATATCGTTTGTTTACCTAGAAGCCATCAGTTTCCCCCATTGCTATCAAATTAATCTTCCTGAAGAAAACTGATCATAACGCTCATTTGCTCAGAAAATAGCAATGTCTCCTTGTTGCCTAATAAATTGAACCCAAATATCTAAGTGTGGCATTCAACATCCTCACAACATGGCCCTAATCCTCCCTTCCAGCCTTAACTTCCACTATCATCTATACATAGCTATACTCCAGCCAACCCCAGCAACTTTCTTTGCCTCAAATACATCCTGTGCTTTACAAAGTCATATTTTGTTCAACCTGCCCCCTCACCCTACCCATTACTGTCAGCTGTCAAAGCTCTATACATTCTTTAAGGCTCATCTCTAATCCTGCTTCCTTCATTAAAGCATCCCTGATCAGCCCAGCCAATTTTAATCTGTTGTTCCTTTAAACCACTTCTTTTTTTAAGTTTTTCTTTTAATTCCAATTAGTTAACATACAGTGTAATACTAGTTTCAGGTGTACAATTTAGTGATTCAACGCTTAACATACAACACCTGGTGCTCATCACAAGTGCCCTTCTTAATCCCCATCACCTGTTTAACCCATTCGACGACCCACCTTCTCTCTGGTAACCATCAGTTTGTGTTCTATATTTAAGAGTCTTTCTTGGTCTGCCTCCCTCTCTTTTTTCTCCTTTGTGTGTTTGTTTCTTAAATTCCACATATGAGAGAAATCATGTGGGATTTGTCTTTCTCTGACTTACTTCACTTAGCATAATACTCTCTAGCTCCATCCCTGTCGCTGTGAATGGCAAGATCATTCTTTTTTTTTAATGTTTATTTATTTTTGAGAGAGAGAGACAGAGCGTGAACAGGGGAGGGGAAGAGAGAGAGGGAGACAATCTGAAGCAGGCTTCAGGCTCTGTGCTGTCAGCACAGAGCCCGATGCGGGGCTCAAACTCATAGACCATGAGATCATGACCTGAGCCGAAGTCAGATGCTCGACTGAGCCACCCAGGCGCCCCAAATTCATTCTTTTTTATGGCTGAGTAACATTCCATTGTATATGTACACCGCATCTTTATCCATTCATCAGTTGATGGACACTTGGGCTGTTTCCATAATTTGGCTATTGTAGATACTGCTGCTATAAACATGGAGGTGCATGTGTCCCTTTGGATTAGTGTTTTTGTATTTTTTGGGTAGATACCCAGTAGTGCGATTGCTGGATCATAAGGTAGTTCTATTTTTACCTCTTTGAGGAACCTCCATACTGTTTTCCAGAGTGGCTGCCCCAGTTTTCATTGCCACCAACAGTGCAAGAGGGCTCCCCTTTCTCCACATCCTCAACAACACCTGTTGTTTCTTGTGTTGTTGATTTTAGCCATTCTGACAGTTGTGAGGTGATATTTTATTCCTGGGTTGCAAGGGTGGTCTAATATTCGCAAATCAATCAACGTGATACACCATATCAATAAAAGAAAAGAACCATATGATCATTTCAATAGATGCAGAAAAAGCATTTGACAAAGGACAGCATCGATTCATGATAAAAAACCCTCAACAGAGTAGATTTAGAGACAACATTCCTTAACATAATAAAGGCCATATATGGAAAACCCACAGCTAATATCATCCTCAATGGGGGAAAAACGGAGAGCTTTTCCCCTAAGCTCAGGAACAAGACAGGGATGTCCACCCTAACCACTGTTACTTAGCACTGGAAGTCCTAGCCTCAGCAGTTAGACAATAAGCCACTTCTTTTATTTTTTTTCAATATTTTGTAAGGATTGTTTTCTTTGAAACAAGAGAATAAACCCTTTCTCTTAGAACAAAAATTCCTTTTCTCCCGCATGGCAAACATCACTGATAATTCATTGTAATAATTATCAACAAGACAGAAATCCCAAAGAAGAAAATTAAAATCCACCATAGGCCCCCATGTTGTGAACACGTTGCTGTATATTCTCCTAGCCCTCTCTATCCAGACATCCACATGTCTACACACACACACGCACACACGCACACACGCATTATAGATCATACTGTTTGTACTGTTTAGTAGCCTGATGTTTTTCATTTGATGCATCATAATTATTCCCATGCCAGTTCATAGTCCTCTCCAACATGATTTAATAGCCATGTAATCTTGTATTATTTGTAATATCATCAGTTATTTCATTAATCTCGTTTGATGAATATTTAGATTGATCATAACTTTCTACTAGCTTTTAAATGTTACAGTGGATAGCCTGGTAGTTTGGACACATTCGTAATTAACTCATAGAAATGGAATTGTGGGCTAAAAAGGTAAGCCAAATTTTAAAGTTTTTTGATAAATGGTGCCACATTACTCTCCACAAAAGTGTTTTTTTTGTAATACTCTCGTGAAGAGTATATGAGAGTGCCCATTTTCCTGCACTCTGATCAACACAGGTATTTTTTTAATCCTCTGATAGCAATTGAACCTGTATTACGTCAATTATTCTGCATATCTTATACTTATTTTATACTTGTGTTACTTCCAACTCCTACCCTAATAGGCATCTATATTTTAACATCTGCAGCAGCTATCATACGACTTTATGCATTCTGGGCACTCAGGAAACTTTTGCTGCATTGAATTGAATCGGAGCCATAGCTAAGGCCTCCCATGTTCTCGCGATACTCTGCAGTTTCCATATGCAAACTAGAGTTACACGACTCAGGGACATGGGAGAGGAAGGGCTAACAACGCTGAGGAGCAGCGTCCAATCCCATTGTGGTTGCTTAACTAATACTCCAACGTCTATCACCAGGAGAGCTACAGCTTCAAAACTTTAACAATAGCTACTTAGGAAAGTAGCTAAACGTATGACGTAGGTATAACGTGCAAGCTGGTTGGCCTAAAAGGAAACCGGTCATGGCATTTTTAGGTGGAAAGGGACAGCTGGTACAGGGACCGTGTCAGCAAGTCTGGAATAAGTTCATGTGTGGCTTGTTTTCTTGCAGCAGTGCATTTGTTCGGCCTGACTTGGCAGCTGCAACCAGTTGAAGGACAGCTCTATGAAAATGGAGTTAGCAAAGGGAACAGAGGGACCGAATCCATGGATACTACTTACTCTCCAATTGGAGGAAAAGTTTCCGATAAATCAGAGAAAAAAGGTACAGTGATCAAAATGATTGATTTATTGATTATTGATTACTTTTCTTCTAATTCGGTCTTTAGAGCTAAAGCTGGGATGGTTTCACTTCACATTAAATTTCATGATCACTCGAAAGAAGTACTCTACGTGGACAGAATAAATACATGTAAATGTCTTATGAAAGCAAATTTTCCTTTCTCTAGTGCCTTGAGTATAAACCAATTAAACTTTTCAAATATGTAGGCAATTTTGAAAATAGATAAATATTTACAGGATGGAGGTTTCAATACAATGGAAATTGCATTTCGCATATAACTACCCTGAAGCAACATGGGATTTTGATTAAGTTCTCTGTGTCCAAGCCCAGCATTTATATATAACATTTTACAAAGGGTATATGGAAATTTCTTCTGTTTATAATAAGAAAGAGCCTTTTATGCTTAATATAAGGGTGAATGTTTATGTCAAAGTGGGGGAACATGAATTTTTTTCTTGTTGGGGAACACAAATTCTTCATAGTTGGAGAAAAGAAAAAAGCACTTGGAGTACTGAATTGTTAAATTTAACCAACATGAGCTTGAGCTACCAGACTTATTTACAATAAATGTCACAGGACCAACATTCCCAACATCTTATTCACATTGAATGATCTTAGTCTTAATATACAAGTATTGAAAATAACCGAAAGTTTGTATGACGATTTCTTTTGAAATAGGATTCAGCACACAAGGACTCAAACACTGTCAAATTTCAGGATGGCCTTCAAAAGCATAAATTGCAAACAAAACATGTAGCCAGCAGAATCCTAAATATCTTTAGGAGATCACATATAAACAGATGAATGAATGAATGATCCAAAGTCTACCCCCAAGCTTACAATTTGAGGGGTGCCTGGGTGGCCTCAGTTGGTTAAGCATCCAACTTCAGCACGGGTCTTGATCTCACGGTTTGTGGGTTCGAGCCCCAGGTCGGGCTCTGTGCTGACAGCTCAGAGCCTGGAGCCTGCTTCAGATTCTGCGCCTCCCTCTCTCTCTGTCCCTCCCCCACTCCTGCTTTGTCTTTCTGTCTCTCTCTTAAAAATAAACATTAAAAAAATTTTTTAAAAGGAGCTTGCAATTTTATAGGGGTGGTAAGACAGTCTTATTTTGCTTGATTAGTTGCAAACAAGATATTTTGTTTTGTAGTTGTTTGAGTTACTCATCTTGATTTCTGTTTTTAGTTTCTTTTGGGGGGTTATTTGTGGGGTTTGCTCTGTTTTGTTTTTGTTTGCTTTTTAAAGGGCAATTCTTCTTTGGTCTATGCTTCAGTAAAAATTCATGGTTTGGTTTCAGGAAAACATTATGATTTGTCCTAGTTTTCAATTCACGATGCAGTTTGCTTTACGTTCTTGTTTAGAAATACTGTCTCTAGCCTTGGCTGACCTTTCACAGCAATTTTCATTGTTGCTGCTGAGAGGGGCTGAGGGTAGTACAAGGGTCAGTGATGACAGAGGAAAGGGTCTGAGTACATTTGGACTTGGACTTTTTCTCTCTTTCTTTCCTACTGTCCCTTTATACCTGCAAGTGCAAGGGCCACCATTTGGTGCCTTTGGGATTTCTTGCCATTCACACTTGAAAATCAGGAATTATCTATTTGAGGGACATGAAACATGCAAGACAGAAGGTCATTACATAGTTGTTACCAGAGCATATTTGTTTTTTATGCTAATTCAGATATCTGTAATTCTCTTCCCCGAAGTACAGTTGACTCTTGAACAACATGGATTTGAACCGTGCAGATCCTCCTGTATACAGACTTTTTCAATAAATACAGCACAGTACTGTAAATGTATTTTCTCTTCCTTATGACGTTCTTACCAACTTGTTTTTTTCTCTAGCTTACTTTATTGTAGGGATACAGTATATGTTACATGTAACATACAAAATATGTGTTAATCAACTGTTATGTTATTGGTAAGCCTTCTAACAGTGGACTATTAGTAGTTAAGTTTTGGAGGAGTCACAAGTTATACAAGGATTTTTGACTGCATGGAGTTTGGGAGGGAGAGGATTGGTGCCCCTAACCGCAGCGTTGTTCAAAAGTTAGCTATAGTTTGATGATGGTGACTAAAATTTATTAAATAATTAACCGTGTGTCAAGAATTGCTCAGCCACTTAACAGGTGTTATATAATGAAGGTAACAGTATGGTCCTCGTTTTCCAAAGAAAAAAACAGAGACACAGAAAGGTTAAGTAACTTGCCCATGGTTACAGAGCTAGAAACTGGTGGTCTGATTTCAGAGCCCTGTTCCTACACTGTACTGAAATCCACACGCAAAATGTATGTGAAAACCACAAAAGACACTTTACCCAGTGAAAGCAAAGCCCCAGAGTCTATTCATGATGCATTTTAGAGAAATAGAGAAATTCTATACACCTGTATTTTAATGTGTTGTGACAAGTTTCATAAATGAAAAATTCTTTTAAGTTTCTGCTCAATTATAACAACAAACAGGCCAAACCAATTTCAATGTAATACTTTATTAAGAAAAATCATTAAGGGTTGATGCCATATACACCCAGTTGTTATCTTAAACTGGCTTTTTATGGCAGTCTGAACAAAACCCTAACTGTAACTGCACATCATAGTTCAGCTATATTAGGTCTTTACTGCATATCACTCACTGAGTACAAACATAGCCCCTGTTTTATAATGCCATGTGTATACTAAACCAAACCTTGCAGAAGATGTAATATACTATAAGGATATTTTCAACTGGTCAGCTGTATCCTTTTATGATTTTCGAGACATCACACACCCCATAAATACAGTCACAGAAGCTTGTCTTAATGATGCTCTGTACATTAAAATATAAAACTAAAAACCAGATAATCCTTTTTGCATTGTTTTCCTTACTCCTCTACAGGATTGGGCATTGTAGCACTGTGGTTAAGAGCCTGGGCTCTGGAGTCAGACAGACCTGGCTTTGAATACTGACCATGCCATTTACTGGCTCTCCAACGTCAGGCAATGAATTGACACGACCTTGCTGAACTAGTGTCCTCATCTACAACATAAGGATGACAATAATAGTACCTGCCTCAAAAGTTGGTTGTGAAGAATAAGTGAGATAATGGTTGTAAAGCATATAGCGCAGTGCCAGGCACATTGTTTAGTTGAGCAGTAATTATTATGACCAAATGATTGGAAAATGACCTTGAGTTTATTGGCATCCTATTGGGTACTATAGATCCTGCTTTCAAACTGGTATCAGCTTTTCCATGGATGATGGCCTTCTTGGGATTTAGATATTTTCTCTTTTTAAAGCTTGATCTCTCTTAACAATTTAGCATCTATTATTTGGTAATTATCATCACCTTAACCATCAAAGTGATGAATCAAATAGAATGGCATGGAAAAAAAAATCAAATTCTACTGGAATTGGTTCCCCATAAACAGTAGTTAAATATATCTGCTTCTCCTTAGGAGATTAAAGACTTTTCTCACTACTTAGATTTCCAAATGAAAGAAAAAAGAATATTTGATTATAGACAGTTAGTATGCTAACATTTTCTTTTTGAAACTTAATTGAATAATTTGAATGGAATTTCCAAAAGAAGACTTAAGTCACAACCACATATTGCAATCTACCAGAAAGACCAGCTGTCGGTTGTTCAATAAACATTAATAGAATTGAAAGCCCCTACTACCTTAGAAACTTACGAAGTAGTCATAACTCTTTCTCTTTAACTAATAAACATTATGTAACAGCTACTTTATTTTTTTTAATGAGCTGTCAGCACAGAGCCCCTGACATGGGGCTTGAACTCATGAACCGTGAGATTACGATCTAAGCCGACGTCAGACACTTAACTGGCTGAGCCGCCCAGGAACCCCATAACAACTACTTTAAACAGAGCAGGGGATAGAAAAGAGTGAAAGACTTAGTCCCAGACCTGAGTCATGTGACATCCATAAATTGACCAAAAATAATTACAGTGTAATTTATCAACTAGTATGAAATGTTAAAATCTTAAAAGATTATCAAATACAACGTCTTTGTTTAAAGATGAAGAAACTGAGGTCCAGAAGGATCAAGAACTCACAGAGAACACACAGACGGCATTTGAGTCCACCTCTTCTGTTTTCTCATCTGTTATTGAAATAACATAACACAAACTAAACATATAAGTTGCTAAAGAGGTTTTCTAAGGAAGTATCAAAGGCAAAAACTAAACAAGTAGGGAAATTGATTTTACTCAGGCTATTGCAATAGGGAAAGCATTCCAGATCGGAAGATCAGAGTGAGCAAAGTGGATTTTGCCTTGGACTTCTATAGGAGGAGTGGATAGGGACATGTGGGATGGTTTACAGTTGGGATTGTTTTGTACTCTGAGGAAGTCTCAGTCACCTGAACAGGAAATGTTTATGTCTGTGTCTAGCTAGTTGAAGGAGAACAAATAGTTCTCACCTCAGCTAATTATTTATGAGACAAAGAACAGGCAATTTTTAAAGTCTGTATTTGGTCTTTTGGCAGGTTCCAGCAAAAGGGGAAAGGTCTGTGTTTTGTCTTGTTACAGGTAAACAAAGGAGTTTTATGCAGTTCTTATGGGAGCCATGAGAAAGGGTGGACAGAGCCAAATCTATAAGTCATATGGGAAAGGGTTTCTAATGCAGTTATTTTTGTTTTTTGTTTATTTTGCAGTAAGCCATTTCCCAAAACATAGAAGAGTGAGAGGATTTTGGAAAAAAAAAAAAGTTGGGAAGATTTCTGTTTTTTTTTTTTTAATACTTCTTTGTTTATTTTGAGAATACGAGAGACAGAGAAAGAGAGCAAGTGGGGTAGAGGCAGAGAGAGGAAGAGAGAAAATCCAAAGTAGACTCCACGCTGTCAGCACAGAGCCCAACGTGGAGCTCAGTCTCACAAATCATGAGATCGTGAGCTGAACCAAGATCAGGAGTTGGATGCTTAACCGACTAAGCCACCTAGGCACCCAAATGATTGGGAGGATTTCTTAACCAGCAGTTTTCCAGGAGCAT